ATAATAAAGTCAGTTACGCTTGGGTATGATAAATTTGAAAATGAAGTCATTGTATATTTATATGTATAAAGAAAGGCAACAGTAGTATACCTGTGTTCAAAAGTCATATTATTTATTCTACTTGTATTCATACTGTATAATATATAATAAGTATTCCCTTATAAACAGAATGTGTGGCGTACAAAATCATATTGACTGTCTGCTTGTGAAATATATGTCACAGTAAATCTATCCCTTAGGTGAAGAAATCTGTTTGCATAATATCCCCGCTCGTGGTAAACTATAGGCAGCAGTATTTAATCGATAATAAAATCTCGTAATTCATCAAGAAGATCCAAGCAAAGTTAACACAAAAACTGAGGGATCTCATGAACTCCAAAAAGAATGTAACCGGTTGCGTCTACCATTCTGAAGAGGAGAGTGCGTCCCTTTGGTTGTGAGGGACGTTTAAATAAGCAGTCACGTTTGCTCTGAATTGGAGCGTTAAACGGGAAACAATGTATAGCTTAACTGACATTAAAGACCGTTGAAACAATGCTTCAATGATGGCCTATTGTAAAGCAAATTTTCAGCTCCTATCCAGCATATCTCTTTGAAAAATGGCAGTTGAAATTTCCCTTCTTTCATTGCGGTCGATCAATTTTGCAGAATTTACATGGTTGCACTAAATATGCATGACATGTTTTCCGCTGGAAGGTAATCAAACAATCGGTAATAGCAAAACACTAAAAATATTCTGTTTCTTTCGAGATAATCTATTCGTGACCAAGCTGGCCGACAGCAGTTCTTTTTCCATATAACTCTATTGGAGGTGTGAGTAAAAAGTACAATTTATGGTAACATCGGCGTATTGAAAACATGCTTTGCTATATAGAATCTTGCGACAATTTTCTTCCGCTTTTGAAAGCTCCGTGTTTGTGTTTTATGGTGAGTATAAAAATAAATAAACTCACATTAATAGGGTCGAAAATAATTATTTATTTAATATATCTTCAGTTTTCTATGTTGTGTTTTGTGTATGGTTGTTTGTCTTTTCGTGTGTTTCGTTTGTTTGTTTTTTTCGACTTATGACTTTGATGATCCCTTTTGGTATCTTTCGCCTCTGTTTTTTATACACATCCTTTTTAGTAGTCAAATTTTTCAAAGATTTACAAACTAGTTAAAAGAATTATGAAGGTGATAATGCATATAAGATAAATGTGTGTATATATAATGAAAGTATTTCAATAGACGTTGTTTGTAGTTTATGTATGTATTCTTGTTTGACAGAAGTGGAAATTCTAAACAGGGTATGTTTGATTTATACCCCCATGGTCCAAAAATACTTTCATCCCATCTAAATTTGTTGTAGTTATTATCGTTATACATCCATCATAATTCTAAAATACATACACTACACGTAAAAATGTGTTCTTAACATCCCAAGTTAACATACAATTTCAATAGATTTTTTAAAAACCATTTTGAGATAACCCACTTTTTCTGTTTGGTAATTAAATCTCTGTCGTGTTGCAATGATGTGTTCTCTACATAACTATTTCAAGGATACAATTTGTATAATCTTTCTCTTTTTTCTGAATAAACTGCATGTATATAAGACCATGGAATTGTAGAGCGATATATTGATTAAAAACAAGAAAGATTATATATATTCAACTTTTTGTATTATAGAAAAATCCTGTTACAAACTACAATTGATCAAGATATCTGCTTAATTAATCTGCTATAATCTACCTACATTTTATCAAACGGTGTTTGACTTGACCTATCAACTGATAATGTATTTAATTCACTGACGAAACAGTTCACTTGATGGTTTTAAACACAAGATGTCAAATGTTTATAAGCAGATAATACGGCTTTAGTAAAGACACGTTGGGATGAATGAATGTATTAAATGAAGCAGTATTTGATATAAAGAGCTGGAATAAAATATTGGCCGTGGAATAAAATTGGACTGTAAGTAAACATAAAGATAATTTCTCATTAAAATATCGCATGATTTCCATTCAAATTCACAATTAGAAATATTTGCAATTCCTATTAATTCATCTAATTCTAAAACACAATTTATTATTATTTCCCGATTTATGAGTCCTTACATCACTATAACCATGATAACTAACTAATAAATGCAAAGGGTAAAAAGGGAGTCATGCATTAATTATTAACATTGAACTGACAATGACACAAAATCTTTATTAAAACCAGGTTTGAACATTGGTACACTTTCAACATCGTTGTAATAAAATAAACCTTATACGATTGTGGCTATTACGCAATAGTTGAAGTGCTATAAAATAAGCATCAATATGCCTATTACACTTGTCACTTTTAACTTACATGGACTTTCAATTTTCTTTTTCATAATAGCAAATGGTTTTTCGTGGTTTAAGTTTTACAATACTAGTATTATGATATCAGTCATTGTTTCGTTGTTTGATTACAATCTCCCAAATAAACATCACGTCAACATTGAACGGACTATTATTTCAATAAAGTGTGATATAAAAACCCACGACCGTAAAACTATGTCTTTGCCAGTAAACAACAAAAACTAAATTATCACCATTATATTAATTTGGAATATATAATACATTGCTCGAGAAAAACATTGCGATAAAAAATTTCATTCCGGTTACAAGATTCGAATTTTGTACCGTTAATATCAACGTTATGACTTTCGTTACCAATGACTTAACGAAAACGGCTCTGAGCAGCCTGATTAAAACAATTTAAATGAACATAGTTATATATCCAAAACTAAAACATAATTGATCCTTAACGTTCAAATAATTAATTGTGTTGTAGAAAAGTTAACGATTGCCTTAATCCTAGTTAAACGAAATGAATGAATTGACTCTATGAAGAATTACAGAATAAACCTGCAACAGATGATATTTGTAAACCTGTCAAATGCCTAAATATATACGTGAACCGTGTGGTTATAATCATGTTCAACTATTAAAGAATTAAAAAGACAAAGTATGAAAGAATCTTGATGAAATTCTATTGATTTATTGTTAAAACGTAAAACAGACAGTCGTTTTACCAGAAATCGGTTAAGCTAGAGAATTTTAAAGAAATAGTGAATTCGGAAACGATAATCAACTTGCAACTAACGTCGCTTATTGATTATCGTTTACCATTTCCACTAATCCTTATAAATTCTCTACTACTTCATAAATTATGCTTTAGCTAATTGACCCTTTTTCACTTTTTGGCAATCAACGTGCTGGGTATAATAGACCATCATGGTTGTGATAGTCACTATTTATATTTTCAAACATTAATATACATTTCCTACGTTATAACAGTATTCCACTTTATGGTTTATTCGATATTCCATGTGACTTTCTAAAAGGTAGAACGGTAGTATTTACTTTCCGGAATCTAAGCTGCCCTTTTCATCATCCTACTTAGGTCAGTTTATATGATTACATTTAAATACGGATTCTAATATGAAGACCTATTATCCTCAACCAGTATAATCACAGTATATATACCTTTAGCGCAAACGCATTAAAGCACAAAATTGGCTGTTCCGCGTTACGGCCTCTTTAAACTACCTACTTTCTATTCGATTAAAAAAACAAACGAAATTAATATTATTGTAAAATGTATTGTTAAATAATAAATTGATGGGGACTTCATTATTATTTTGTTATTTTTGGAATGCATGTGCAAATCGTCTGTTGCACGTGAAAGCAACAACATAGTCCGCTTTGAATGAGTAAAAACAATGATTTATACTGCAAATAGTTGTGTTTATTTCCTAAATATAGTAACACCTATATTTTGTGCAATGTCAATTTCATCATGGAACACTTTTTCCACAATCAGGATTTCATTAAGGGATGAAAATAAGTTTAAAATTTGGTTGCAGCAATACAAATATTCGGCGAATTTTTCAACCAAGTTTGACATACTCTGTTCAAATAATAAACATTATAAGACTAGTCAACAATTGAATAAAATAAAAATCAGGGCGAATGGACCCTGGGCGAACAGGTATTAGGGCGAGCAGCTACTAGGGCGAACGGACCTGGATTCCTGACTACACAATTGATTTTATGTTTGAATTAGGTCACAATCGTTTATTCCTTATTAGTATTAAATGAGTGTTCTTTCAAACATTGTTGTGTTGATGAAGACTTAATAACTATTCCCTTTCTATTTCAGATGAATGTGCACACTCAATACAATACTCAAGCACAAAATAATGAAAATTCTGTTTTAAATACGGGGGTAATACGGAACAGCTACAGTATCATGTGTATAGGGCTTTCACGGTTGAAAAAAATTACCGTAATTGTCCTATTAGGATCGAAATAATTCATGGCAGCCGTAGATTTGTTTTCATTTAACCATGGGTCGAGGTAAAATAATCGAATGTAAATGCCCAACCCATGGTTAAATGAAAACAAATCTACGGCTGCCATGAATTATTTCTTAAATCTTCTGGACACAACTTTCAAGTTGAGTGATGAATCGAGTATAAAAAAAAAAAAAAATGAGGATGAAAATAATGCTTATAGAATCTACTAAAATTTTATATTCATTCTAATGAAAATGTTGCAAAACTTTAGTAGTCAAAGATTTAAAAACTAATTAAAAGAATGTGATGATGGTCAGAATACATCTTCAAATACAATTTTGAATATATTGTGAATGTACCTCAATAAACTTTGTGTGTAGTTTCTGTATTCTTGTATGTATAGAAAGTTGAAATTATAAACAGGTTATATCCCCATTTCCATTCTCAATTTTATTATTTGTTTAATATCCCTATGGTCCAGAAAATACTACCATTCAATCTACTTTGTTGTAGTTCTTGACTTTATAGATAATTCATGATTCTAAAATACGTTATTTACACAACATGTAAATGTGTGATCTAAACATTCTAATGGTTTCAATCGATATTCTATTCAATAAAATTTCAATATTTTTTTTTTATTCTGTGACGTGTATTGTGTAATTACCTTGAAGTCAGTATGTAAAGGGAGCACACATACTTTAAAAAATAGTTTGTTGTCGATCGTTTATTTTACTACTTCGTTATAATTATGTTTTAGTTACTTGTACTTATTTTATACACTATTTTGACAATCAAGGTGACTGGCATCATAGACAAAAGTAAAAAAGATTGTGATATGGATTATGTTTTCTCTGCATTACAATTATCAAGGATAGAACTGTGTTATTGATCCGAATAAACTACAGGTATGTAAGATAATGCATTGTTGGCGCCATGTGTTGACTAAAACAAGAACGATATTAATATGCATTCTTTTATTTCATTTGTTAAATATTTAATTAAAGAATCGGTTGAAGGCAAAACATATAAGGAATGACGAGATCTTACATGATTATAGCAGAACGCCGTAATTGATTTAATTGGCAAGTCTGTGCACCATTGGTAACAATGGATGCTCAAGTTCCTCAAAGTTAATCATAGAGAAAACAATGGCTACGAACTCCAAATGCGTCGACTTGTATTCGCATCACCCCATGGTTAAGTTGTTTAGTGTTGTGAAGACTGAGTGTGAAGATTAACAATTACTATATCATAAAACAGTTAAACAGTTAGGCACGAACTGGTACAAATTCAGAACCGGCCCTATATGGTATACATGCGATGGTCTCAACAAAACTTTCTGTGGTAATGCAGGAGAGTACAAACCTAAAACGATCCGACATAGAATACAGGAAAGGATCGTAACGTAACCCCTTAATCATGACAGATCCCGCCAAACATTTTTGACAACGACAAATAATTTTTTTACAAAAAAAATAGCAAAACAACTTCATGACATATAATGATCGTAAACAAAGAACAAAGAAAAAATAAAGTTTATTGCAGTCCTGGTGGGCAGAACTAATAGTTCGATGGTACACTAACAATTCTAAGTAGTTTGAAAACTAAATCTTGAAAAAAAAAATGAAACGCAAATTGACAGTTCAATTTCACTCTCAGACTGCTGTTACCTGAATATCCTGCTAAAATGTTCATGTATCTCACTAGAATTAGCAACAACATATTCCTGATATGTGTGATTACAGCGAGCTAATCTAAGGTTGTTTTTCTCTGGATAGTATGTCCATTCATATATCATATTAATTCCGGTTTTCCTTGTCGGCCTGAAAAGATATATAAAGCAGCAGCAGAAAATAGAAATTGTTGGTTGATGGCAAAGGGAAGCGAATTTGTGAAACTTTAAACTACTAGTAATCTACAAGGGTGGTAAGATCATCGCAAGGGTAAAATGGCACGTGATATTAGTGAGAAACCCGAAAAACAGATCCAAATGATGCAAGTTATTTATAGAAAATAAAAATATATCAATCCTCGATCATTAAATAATTTTTGTTGTTGTATGAAAGCAGTAAAAGATACACGTGTCTGTCTGAAAAATTTCATCTTGTCTTCTCCTCATAGTCATTGTTCATTAATCAACTTTAAATATTGTTTCTCGGTAATTGTCGAAATTATTCAAATGACTTTATTCATGTTTGTATATAGGGATGATATTTACTTTAGCTTCGTTTTCATTGTCCATTGAATGACGTTTACTTTTCAGGATAACATGACAGTCTTAGCTACTCGGGGGGTTAAATATATCATTAGGTTGATATTATCACTTGCTTGATTATATCATAAGTATCTGAAACTAATCAGATGTCAGTATTTATTTTTGATGCGGTTAAACCACAGTCGTAAATGCATCAGCTATTTGTCAAACTAATTAATCCAATGAGGTATTTCCACTGATGCTGGTTATAGAGGCTATAAATCCGATTATTTTGACATTTGCACCTAATTAACATTCAAAGGTGTGTATACATGAAACATAATAACAATTATTAAAAGAAATTCCATAATGTCAGCGTCCTTTAAGAGGGAACGGCAATGTAACTTTTTATCAGTTTTTCATTTATGTAAAACTGAAAGTGTTACTCTCTGGGGTGTTACTATCTGACCAAACATATTTTATAAGAAGTGTTTATTGAAATTGAATTTTCTTCATAATGAAAAACATAAAAGGGGTAAATAGAGGAAAGTTATTTAAGTTGTGACGAATGTGACGAATTTATTTGAAAAGCAAGGTGTGATTATTGTGACTTTGTTGCTACTAAACATGAACCTGATGAAGATGAAAAATATCCAAATATATCTATGGGTCTGTTTTTTGTTAATTGATATATGACAGGGTAAATTTTTGATAAACAAAATATATGAAAAGGGTGGGGGACTTGATGTCTCAGCTGATCACCCCTACCAAAAAAAGATTGAAGTATCCTCTCCCCCTCCCCCACCCCCCGAGTTTAGCTACAATTCTTACAATTATTGTAAAACAAATCATTGTGAGGTGTACATATACTTGTCTAACTGATGAAGTTTATCTGACCTTGACGTCATTTTCGTTTATCTTTGATAAATAAGATTTTGGAATGAAAAATGAAAAATGGGGATTTTATTATATCTATCGTAAGATTGTGGTCTCAAAGATAACACTCCATGGAACATTTCGACGTGTGTGCTCTTGTTTTTTTTTTAAATCTAATCAAAAGCGTATTTGTGACAAACGTGAAAATAATTCAACAGTTCCAATGTGAGGATAAATAGTTTTGTCACACTTTTGTCCACTATTTAATCCAATTTACTTTGTATATTTTCTACTGAATTAATCTTACAATTGCATGTTGAATTCTATACTTTAAGTTTTTTCAAAAAGGATATATTTTATACAAGTAATTAGCATTGTGTCATCCTTATTTCAGAAATGGATAGAATACAATTAGTTGTGGCATTCAATATAGGGGAAATTTACACAGGATACACATTGTCCACGACAGAACAGTTTTCTGATGACCCTATGAAAATGAATGGTTTCAACTGGCAGTCGCAATATACCATCAATGACCTAACTCCTACCTCTATTATTCTAAATTCCAAAATGGGATTTCAGAGCTTTGGTTTTGAAGCAGAAGACCAGTACCTGTTTTCCTGTGAAAATAAAGAAGACTTTTATTTCTTTCAACATTTTTTATGTCAAACAAATTGGTTTACAGAAACAAACGGTGATATTTACGTCAACCCTTCGAACCGTGTCGGACCTGTTCTATTAAAAACATTAATACGTCATTCAGTTTCTTTTTTAAAAACACATTTTTTAAATGAGATACACATATCTCACATTGTTGATGATTTCATTTTGTGGGTTGTAGTTTATCCAGAGGGAGATAAGTTCGACGTAAGATTAATATTACTGGAGGCATTTCTAAACACTGGTATCAATAGAGACAATATCGTACTTGTTTGTGAGAGTAATGCGATCCAAGCTTTTGCTCGTCACATTGAACAATCTAGAAAATGTGAAACGTCTGGGATTCAAAATAAAAGTACAATTATATTGAATTGTGCCATGACACAAATATGTCCGAATGTTGCTTTTCAGAAGTATCCCAAGGTTGCTACAAGTGTTATTGGCATATCCTCGGTTGTCGACGATATCGATTCGATCATGAAAAAGCGAATAGGATGTTCTATCTTCACTGGCCTGGATGATATTCGTTCTAAATACGACTTTTTTTTTACTTAGATAAAGCACTAGAGATTAATGTTTTAAAACAAGCACATGGTAGTCATGTTGGTATGAAACTCCCGCTACCTTTGATAGAATATATGAGCAAATATGTCACAAGGTCCTCCAATGACGGTTTCAAATTACGGTCTGATATTCTCAAAATCGAAATCGCTGTAATCCACGAAGTTTTTCAAAACGCGATGTCACCATTGGTGGATCATTTAAAAAAGGAAATCAATATTTTGAATACAGGAACCATCCAAAAAGTTATTCTTGTTGGGGATTTTTCAAGATTTATTATGACCAAAACAGTGTTTCACGAGAGCTTTCCACAATTTGAAATCATTGTTCCATCAAATTCATACATGGCAGCCACAATAGGTGGGACAATAGCTGGACATGAAATACGATCTGGAAAATATGATAGTCGTATTCTATATGTTCCCAAAATGTCAATTGTTGTAACGTCGCATAGTGAACCTGCGGCACTGAGATCATCATCCAATTTGAGAAAATATATCGATGATAAACTTTCTGTCAAACCAAACATGGATACCGATACAACGATAGACAATATTTCACATGTATCATACTTACCAGATCCTATTCGTCCTTCTAAAATTGCAACAAAGCTTCAAGATCTCTATGAGTTTGAGTACGCTGAAAGCCTGGCAGCTTGTATAGAAAAGGGGTGTGACGATGCTAAATCTGAAGAATTTTTGCTACAGATTCTTCACGAGGCTTATGATGAATGCAGAAAGCAAGCCCATACTCAAATTAACACAATCACACAGGCGTTTCATCCCGCCGTCGGGATAGATGATATTAAAACGTCATTACCGTCAGATGTTGTTAAACCATTGATAGAGTATAGACGAAAGAATGCTTTGCAATATCTGCCAAGATTAATTAAATCATTCTTAGAAACATTGCCAGATAAAATCAACATTTCTAATGCTCAGCTGTCAGTCTGCACTCCATTTATCGAGAAAGGTATGGAATGTTGTTGGCTAATGTCCGTGACAAAGCCGCCCATGTTTTTAAAATTTGAATGGAACAAGAGTGAACAAATAGATTTGACAGAGTTAGAGATTGAGAGAGGCAACGGAAAGTATGTTGAGAGCATGCGTTGGCCTGCGCTGTATCTTTATGAAAATGGTCCTTTGATGAACAAGGGCGTTGTGAATGCAAAATGACATAAAGTACAAGCCTTGCGTTATAACTTTTAAAATTTAACTGTTTTTAGTTGAGAAATAAAGTATTGCATGAGATTTGGTGGTTGAATCTGTTTCTCTAATGACTTTTAGATGAGCAGAGAAAATTCCTTTTGAAAGAAGGTCTATATAGTACACGCCTTTTAACTTAGTCAAACTCATCATATCAAGTATTAAAAACATATTTAACTCTTTTTTTTTTTAGTATCATATGAATTAAAAGAGGTAGAGATAACAGTCTGAATAAGCAGTAATTTGAATACTACCGTTTGTTTATTATAAAAGCAGCATACTGGACGACTATTTATGTATATTGCTTGACAAAATAGCGGAAGATATAAGGGCACATTCAAAACTTTGCGGTCGAAATAAAATACATAGAAAAATAAAGATTGGTCAACAGGTACCCCAACAAAAACTTGGGATGATATCAAGTGTTCAAGGAGTGTAAGCAGATCCTGGTCAACTAGTGGAACCCATTAGTGTTGCTTCTGGTAAGAACAAAACAAACAGCTCCATATTGAGTGTACATTTTAAGTGTTTTAAATGATGATGCGGTCAACATAATCATATTGACTGTGATGGACATGGTAAACATATTGCTTGACTGACTGAAGTTAGACATTCTGGGAACCTGTACAAAAAAACCTCGCCCGAAGTAAATAAATTCATCATAGATACCAGATCAAATTTTAGAGGCAACAGTAGTTAATAAAATCTCATAGATCCGTTAAAACAACATATCAAGGTAAACCCAAAAAAACCCAAAAATGAGGGATCCCATGAACTCCGAAAAGACCGTAACCGGTTGCGTCAACTTGGTAAGAGTCTTCATCCTTAAGAAGAGAAAGTGTCAGTTTGATTGTGCGGGATGTAAACATATGAGTCAAGTTTACTCTTAATAGGGGCGTTAACCAGATGCAATGCATAGCTGAATTAACCTGCTCTCGGCTTCACGTTAAAAATCTTTGCAACAGGGCTTCGATGATGGCCTGTTGCAAGACAAACTTTCTGCTCCTTTCCATGATATTCTCTTTGAACTGTGGTAGTCCAAATTTTTTTTGTCCTCCGTTTCAGCCGTTCAACTTTGCAGACCATATCTAGTCCAGTGATACAGACAAAATTTCACATAACATTTCATTGCATATAAGATAATAACCATCACTGGAAGTTAACCAATCAAAATTTCTACCCTTTATTCATGTGTACAAGCTTTAGTAACCATGTAACCTCAAATTTCTAAAATATTCTATAGATACACCAAATAAAAACAGAATGGTGCTTTGAAACACCCAAGATATATGTTTATGACTCAGAAATTTTTTACTGCTATGAAATGTAAGATTAATTTCCTACAACTGTCAAATTGAAGGGAATATTTTTTCGACCCTTTTTCGTATGCAGCCGGATGTGACGTACTGTGATTTGGTGGTATTACACCTCATGAATTTGCATGAATTGTTTGTCATTGAAATTTAACAATCAATCGATCAATCGGTGAATACAAATTACTAGATAAACGTATGTGAATGTGCAGCTTGACAGCAGCTACTTTACCTTGTAACGCTCCTGGAGACGGTTTGAATAAAAAGTACAATTACTGGTCATATTGCCATATAGAAAACATGATCTGACATAAAGAAAAGAAAATCGCCGTTTCAGCATCAAAAGGACTATCATCATCAATGGGCTATTTCTATTGTTTGAACCCCAAGATGAAAATAGCATCGCGCCGATGACTAAGATATTGTTTAACACATTGTTAGATGATCATAACATATTGATGTTCACTTTTAAAAACATTCCCAGAATGCATTAGACTCCACGATATGGCTCAAAATTTCAAAAGAGACAGAATCAAATTATCGTTGTTGTCGTTTCTTATTTAAACAAATACCATGTTATGAGTCTTGTTTGAGTTGATTGCTTTATTCCTGTGATATGAAGTAAAACATTCATTTACATATGTAGTCTTTGGAAGTTCTGTGTTAACTCTCATTTACTATGAGTGCAAAATTAAGGAAACTCACACTAATAGGGGCCAAAATAATAATTCCTTTCATAATAGAGTTTCAATCAAATCATTTCACAGATGATAACGGATATGTTCCTAATGTCGTAACTACAATCCCGTCCCCTTTTCCCGAATGTGACCTACCGAATTATACTTATAATCGTGTTTGTAATACTAGTAACATGAGCAACACGACGGGTGTCACATGTGGAGCAGGATCTGCTTATCCTTTGGGACCACATGAGATCACCCCCAGTTTTTGATTGGATTCGTGTTGCTCAGTCTTTAGTTTTCTATGTTTTGTTTTGTGTCTGTGTATTGTTTGTCTGTTGGTCTTTTTTCTTTTTTGGCCATGGCATTGTCAGTTTATTTTCGACTAATGAGTTTGAATGTCCCTCTGGTGTTTTTCGCCTCTCATTTACATCATTTCAATCGACTATTAGATACCTCATGCGACTAATTAACAAAGGGAGGCAGAGGATACCGCAGGAACATCTCGCTAGTCGAAGAAAAACTGGCAACGCAATGGCAAAAACAAAAAACTACGAAAAGACGAACATACCCGTGGTCATCTGTTACACATTTATTTACTAACGGTCAACCAACTCGTAAATTCGTCGGTAAAACTTTCGAATGGATGCTTTCATGCACTTGGACCCTTTCGTTCAACATGTTCACTAGCTGTTGTTAGCGGAAACCCTGAATCAAGAAAATCATGATAGGAAACGCCAGCTCTGGAATATCGTTTCAAGGGTAGTATTGTAATATTCTTTCTCCGAAAACAAGGTTACCCTTTCTCAGCTTACTCAGCTTAGTTCATTATTACCAAAAAAAAATAGAAAATCTGCTGGACAAATCTTTGCATATTGAGAGATGATTTTATAGAAGCTATTAATCTTTTTAATTCATTTGATAGCAAAGAGCCGCAAAGTTTTGGTCAACAATTTATAAACTAGATAAAAGAATGCGATGATTGTGAAAATGCATATTCGAAAATATTTTTTAATATATAATGAAAGTATTTCAATAAATTGTGTGTAGCTTCAGTGTATTTGTTTGATATATTTCCCAAGGTCTAATACATAATTCATAATTCGTAATTCTAAGCTACAGGTAAAATAGTGTTCTTTAAGGGGCATTGGCTGTCAAATACATGATCACCGATTTGACTAAAATTCTCATAATTGATTAATAACATCCTTAAACGTATATCCAAATTACAACAAGTCTAAAATAAATTATTAGTAATGCATGGACTTGAAAATATGTTTCAGCATTTCGTGTGTATTTTTGTCTAGACGTCATCTAATTAACCATTGAGATGACCTCCGAAGATTGCCGACGGTTATATAACCCGATATAAACATAAACATAAATATAAGCAGATAGTGACCACGTGCAATTGGATTTTTCTAGGTCTGTTTGATTTCATATTGTAGGCTAAAAACTATTTTTATCATCGATTTTACCTGTATATGAATGACTTTTTGTGGATCGATTCAGTCAACCAAATGGTTCATCCTTGTTTCAATTTCAATGCTGACATTCTTGTCCTTTTAATAGCCGAATACACACGTAACCCATCTCAAGCTAAGAAAATAAATTAAAGGTCACATGAATACGAATTCAATGAGGTCGAATTATTCACTTGCAAGTGAATAATTCATCAGCGATGTTTCTTAGCTTATTTTGACAAAATTGAACCAATTGACTTGTTTAATATGAGCGACTAATGGTAAGTCAATGATATTTGGTATCAGCATAAGCAAAGTTTCTATATCATGGAGATTATTTAGCCCACACTCCCCCCCCCCCCCCCCCAGCCCCCCCTCCTTATCATGGTTCTTTGACTTTAAAACTTTAACATAGTTTACAAGTTAAAGTTTGTGTTTATGTTAGTTTAAAGAGAACCAATTATGATAAGTTAATGGTATCTGATATTCAGTTTTATAAGAATTGGCATGTCTCGTTTCCATGGATGTTATTTGGAACGGCACCTTCACCTTTGCATGATTTGCATAGTTAACATATTTAAATATTTCTATTTTAGTTTTAGCATTTGCATTACACCATAAAAATTACAAAATGCGAGAAATGTATCTGTGTGAAAGGTTTATTCATATGGTAATCTCTGTGACGCGTATTGAGTCATCACCTTGTAGTCAGTATGTAAAGGGAGCACACATACTTTAAAAAATAGTTTGTTGTCGATAATTCCATTGCTTGCTATTTCGTTATTATGTTTTAATAACTTGTACCTATTTTCACTATTTTAGCAATCATGAATGGTATAAAAGACGATCATTGTTGTGATAGCCCCTTGTATGGTATGGAATATAAATTCTCGTGAATAAAAATTTCCTATGTAATGAGCGTATTCTAGTTTATGGTTTATTCGATATTTCATAAGACTTTCTATGTAGAACGGTAGTATATACTTTCCGGAATCTAAACTGCTCTTTCGTGTATCTTACTTAGGTCAATTTATATGATTAAAAATAGAAATAAGGAATCTACTGGACACGTCTTTGCAAGTTGAGAGATGAATCGAGTATGAAAATTTGAAATACGTGTGAAAATAATGTTTATAGAATCTATTAGAATTTCATATTCATTTCAAGGAAAATGCTGCAAAGGTTTAGTCTGAGGGTTTAGTAGTCAAAAATTTACAAACTAGTTTAAAGAATGTAATGATGGCTATGATGCATATTCAAATACAATTTTGAATATATTTTGAATGTACCTCAATAGACTGTGTGCCTGTGTAGTTTCTTATATGAGGGAAACGGGAATTCTTAACAGGGTATTAATTGTTATAGATACCAATGATCTAGTAAATATTTCTATTCCAATTACGAGTGTTGAAGTTGTTGTCTTCATAGTTTTAAAATACGTTTTTATTTTGCTACATGCAAAAAAAATGTATTCTAAACATTCAACGTGTTTTGATTAACGATATTCTTTCCAATAAAATTTTAATAATTTTAAAAAAAAACATTTTGAGATCAACCACTTTATTCATTTGGTCATTAAATATCTGCCAATTTACAATTCTGCCACGTGTATTGTGTAGTTACCTTGAAGTCAGTGTGTAAAGGGAGCACACATACTTTAAAAAATAGTTGTTGTCAGTATTTTTACAAGTTTCGTATTATTATGTTTTAGTTACTTGTACTTATTTTTTACACTATTTTGACAATCAAGTTTAATTATTTCATAGACAAAAGTCAAATAAATTGTAATACGGATCGAAATATTTGTGCATCACTGGAATTAAAATGGTGGCTAAATTGTTTTGATATTTTTTTTTTTTTTGTATTTTAAAGTATCACAAATAGAGTTTCAAACATGATTCCTTTCTATACATATTTATTATGTTTCTCTGCATTGCAATTATCAAGGATAGAACTTTGTATGTTTACATTAATAAACCAGTTTGTTAGTTTTCATTTTAACAATTCTTTCTGACGACTGTAACCATATTAGTCTCGATATATTTTGAAGGTTTCTAAAGTTTTTGCTAACACAGTTACTTTCAATAAAAGCTGATCTTTTATTTCCGAAAAAAGGACACTCAAGTATATGTTATTGATCCGAATAACCTACATGTATATACGATAAGGCAATTTTCGTGCCATATGTTGACAAAAAAACAAGAACAATGTTCATGTACATTCTATTGTTTTATTTCAGAAATATCTCTGTGCAATATACAATCAGTATATAAATAGATCGTTTCTTAATGAATATATCTTCATAACAACACCATATAATTATAAAAGAGGGACGAAAGATACCAGAGGGACAGTCAAACTCATAGATCGAAAACAAACTGACAACGCCATGGCCAAAAACAAAAACAATGTATATATCATCATATAATTGAAAAATTTGTTTTCATCAATATTTTTGTTATTATTAACATTATGACCATAGCGTTATGAAGGAGACCTTGCCACACATTAAACAGTTCTAATTCGAGGGAAAATATTACTGTTTACAACTGTATGATCCAATTAACGATAGTTTTCCCAAATTATCTTATGACATATACTATTGGCCTACTTTACAAATAAAGTCATTACATATACATGTATCAGGCATATAATTTTGAACGCTAAACGTGAGTTTTGTCTACACAAGACTCATGAGTGACTTTCGAATCAAAATAAATAAAATAGTTGTAATGGTTCATCTTGATCATTCGTGATAACATTGTGTTTTCGTGATTTTCGTCAGTCCAAGATATGATAAGTAATAAATAAACTTTGTTTGGTTTACAGTGTAAAGAATCTTGTCCATTAGATATTTTCAACTTTTTCTGAGATCAATATCATGGATAGGTAATGACTAATTCTAAAAGTAATAAGTCAATTTTATTTGGAGTAAAGACTGACGGTAAGGTGTATCTTAGCCATGTCAGTCCGTTTAGTGGACGATCATTCAACATTCTTGTGGGAGGAAGATTGTGTCTTGATTGATCGTTTATTTTCATATGTTGTTTATTTGTTTCCACGCGAAAATTTATTATCACTTTTGAAGAGTATTAATTACATCCTGTGTTCTGCAAAGTAATTTATTTTCAGTTCTTACCAAGCCAAGTTTATCATTTTTTAAATTGTCCTCCCTTTTTATATTGTTATATCAACACAGACACGTTTTCCCATTTTGTTTTGTCAAATGTAACACAAATGTCCTTTTGCTTCTCTAAAATAAATATGTATTTCACAATCAATCCTATACAATGGGAGGTTCAGTTTATGACATCAAAAACCATTCAATTGTCATTAGTGGTACAATTCTTTCAAAAACATAAGAAAGTCATTACCTCCATCAGAAACGCTCAAAGCTAAATATATGAAAATAATGACATCAACAGAATGGCCAAATTCATCTAAAGTCATTCTGTTTATGTCAATTATGGTCATACAGCTACTAATCTTTCTGAAGGAGGTAATGCCTTTCTTATGGTTTTGAAGAAGACGTTACTATGTTGAAAAACTTGTGTCTAATCCATTTGTACTTTTTGAACAATAAAATATGCTTTACAATATCTGCCAAGATTAATGAAGTAATTTGTAGAAACATTGCTGTGTAAAATCAACAGGTCTAAAGATCAGCTGTCGGGCTGCACTTATTGAGAAAGGTATGGAATGTTTTTGGCTAATTTCCGATTCAGAGCCTCCCAGGTATTTATAATTCAACTGGAACAAAGGGGAAAAAATAGATTTGGATAAGTTTGAAGTTGAAGGAGGCAAAGGAAAGTATGTTGAGAGCATGTGTTGGCCTGCGCTGTATCTTTATGAAAATAGTCCTTTGATGAACAAGGGCGTTATGAATGCAAAATGACAAAAAGTACGAGTCTTGCGTTATAACTTAAAATTAAACTGTTTTAGTGGAGAAAATAGTATTGCATGAGATTTGGGGGTCTGTTTCTTTAATGACTTTAAGACGAGCAGAGAAAATTTCGTTTGACAGAATGTCTATGTGGTACACGTCTTTTAGAGTAAAACTTAGCAATTCAAGTATAGAAAATATATTTTATTTTTTGTTAAGTATCAAACGACTTAAAACAGGTAACGATACTAAGCGACTAGTTATGCATATTGCTTTAAAAAAAAAGCGGAAGATATAAGGGGACATTCAAATTTTTGCAGTCGAAATAATAATGCATAGAAAAATAAAGACTGGTCATCAGGAACACCACCAAAAACGTGGGTTAATATTCAATGCTCCGGAAGGGTTAACAGATCCTGGTCAACTGGCGGTATCCATTAGTGTTGCTTCTGGTAAGAAAAAACAAAGCTGTTCCATATTGAGTGTACATTTTGAGAAATGCTACATTTCGACGGATTAGCTTAATCAGAGTATCTGATTTTGATATGAATTTTATATAATATGAAATAGAAGAAAATGAAAACAACATGATATTGATTTTATGCGTCCGAAGCGCTTTTCTGGATTTATCTTCATCAGTAATGCTATATAATATTTGAAATCCGAGTATGTATAAGAACCAAAACAGTTGTCAAGTCAGTTCAGCTTGGCTCAGATAAATGTGAAAAGGAATTCGAGGTCATAGTATATGTAAATGTATAATCTATAAGTTATTCGTAGATTATTTCTTTTGTATAGAAACATTGTAAGATGAACATATGTCTGGCTGACAGAATTCTTCTGATCTCCAACTTAATCATCCCCCATGAATTGACTGGATAATCCGGGCCTATGTCTTCTTCCAGCCAGATGTAAAATCATTACCTTAGTGGAGCGTCTGTTTGGCTGTGCGGGATAAATACATTCCAAGCCACATCCGGACAAATGTTGATGTTAAATTCGATATATCGTAAAGAGTGAGTGTAGCACAAGTTATATTGCACGGTTGTTTTTAGAAAATCTAAAAACCGATCAATTTTGTGACGTCATCTAATGAATTTCATGATATTGTTCAAAGTTTTTACAAAGTGTATATTTATGATCGATTATTTGAAGAAAACAATCTTCGAATACATAAGATGTTCACAAAAAAAATAAAAAAAATAATTGAAATAACAACTAATATGTTGTTATTGTCAAAGTGACAATATGATATCTAAAATTTATTTTTTACAAAATTAAATGATCAAAAAAAGAGAATATAATGCACTGAAGATTTTGATACAAATATGGTCGGATATTAATAATATAACAATTATAGCCTTTGTATGAGGTCAATATATTTCTTTCAGGTCAATATATCCTTGGATCGACCTCATACAAAGCCTATAATTGTATAATAACAATTATATGTTAACTGCGTTTCAAATTGAATACAAATGTAGTATTCATAGCCACAAAGTGACAATATTTTAACTTTCTTTCAGAGATGAACAGACCATTAATAGTTGTGGGAGTGAACAAAAGTAAAATATATTCCGGATACACGTTTTCTACTATTTCACATTTTGAAGAGAACCCTAACCTTGTCAAATCATTTTCATGGAAATCAGAAAAGTTTTGTAGACTTTCTTTAGAAACACCAACGTCTATTCTTCTCAATGCGGAAAAGAGCTTTGAGAGTTTTGGTTACGAGGCAGAAGATCAGTACATGTCATTGACTGAGGAGATGAAAGAATCAAATGTGTATTTTTTTCAACATTTTCTTTGTCAAACAAAGTGTTATCGAAAAAATGGCGAAATGTTAGTGAAACCTACAAATCATTTTGGTCCCGTTCCGTTAAAAACTCTGTTAAGTCATTCATTATCCTACCTCATAAAACACTTTTATTTAGAAGTCATGAACAGATTTTCCCCTTTTAAGGAAAATTACATTCTATGGGTGATCGTTTATCCTGATGAAAGCGAATGGGTTGATGTACGTTTTACATTTAATGAAGCGTGTGTAACTGCGGGTATAAGTGAGGAAAACTTCGTTCTTGTTGGTGAGAGCCTTGCCGTCAAATCTTTTGCTCGCCACATTGAACAACCTAAGACAAATGAAATTCTACCAAACTGTACAGTCATACTGAATTGTGCCTTAACACAAGTAAGTCCGAATAAAGCTCTTCAGATATACCTCCAAGTTCCTACAAATTTAATTGGCATATCTTCAGTTATCGCCGATATAGAACCCATTATGACAAAGCGATTAGGATGTTCTATGTTAATTGTTCTGACTGATATTATTTCTAGATGCGAATTCATCAATGAACTTGAGGTTAAACTAAATAACCGTCCAATGAATCAATGTGATTCTGTCAAAATTAGGGTTCTGATGTTTTTTTTGGGGCATATGAGGAAACATATAACAAACTCCAGGAAAGAGGGATTCCGATTACGGAGTAAATTTCTGTTCATTGACAACACAGTAATCCATGAGGTGTTTCAAAGCGCATTGGAACCATTGATGAATCATTTTGAAAGGGAAGTCAACGTTTTGAATAGAGAAACCATCCTCAAAGTTATTCTTGTTGGGGATTTTTCGAGATATGCAATGACAAAGGTAGTTTTTCAGGAGAGATTTCCGCAATATGAATTCATTGTACCATTAAATTCATATATGTCGGCGACAATAGGAGCAACCACAGCTGGACATGAAATACAATCTGATGAATCAAACCGTATTGTATATGTTCCAAAAATGTCAATTGTTGGGACGTCGCATATTGAACATGAATTTCTGAGTACAACATCGGGTGCGTTTGATAATTCACTCAGCGAGAAAGCTGCTGCCAAAGCAAGAATTGATACTACTGATGTAACTGACAATAATTCAAATTTAGCGTTCTTACCAGATGCAATGGTCCTTCGAAAATTGCTATAAAACTGCAGGATCTGCTAAATCTGAAGAATTTTTGCTACAGATCCTTCACGAGGTTTATGATGTATGCAGAACTCAAGCTCAGCCTCAAATTAACACAATCATACAGTCATTTCATCCCACCGTCGGGATAGATGATATTGAAACGTCATTATCGTCGGATGTTGTCAAACCGTTGATAGAGTATAGAAGAAAGAATGCTTTGAAATATCTGCCAGGATTAATAAAATCATTCGCAGAAACATTGCCAAATAAGATCGACATTTCTAATACTCAGTTGTCAGTCTGCACTTCATTTATCGAGAAAAGTATGGAGTGCTGCTGGCTCATGTGTGTTACGGAGCCACCGATGTTTTTGAAATTTGATTGGAACAATAGTGAACAAATAGATTTGTTTCAGTTAGAGATTGAAGGTGGCGACGGAAAGTACGTTGACAGCATGCGATGGCCTACGCTGTATCTTCATGAAAATGGTCCTTTGATGAACAAGGGCGTTGTAAATGCGAAATGACGAAAAAAATATTCAACTTCGCTTACAAAACTTTTTTTATGTTCGATAGTGATGAAGCTTACATGTATATTCAATATTATTATGATAATTATGATTCAAAGCCTGTATAAAATATTATAGTCATTTAATAATACATAGAATAGAATATTCAAAAAAGTCACTGATGATGTTTTCGCTGCTTTTTCTCTCGGTTAAAATGGATAATATCACAGAGACGGAAAAAGAAATCAGTTATTCCAATAAGGTAGATCACGATCTGTTGATAGTAACTTGTCCTTATTCTAAAACAGTGAGCCATGTTTATATTGAGAGATGAATTATTTAAAATTAATTATATGGGCATTTCTATCAGATATGTGTTTCAAAGTCTTTATGAAACGTTTCAGTAGTTTACAAACTCTTATTAACGATATGAACTTGATAGACTATTATTTGCTTGAATTTATTTGCGAATATTTAGCTATTTTGTATTGATGACGATAAGAATTAAACAATAAATCAAAAAAGTAAGTTGTGTAGAGTGACTAGACCGGAATGAGGAGTAGGAACGGACTTCCAATGAATAATCTGCTTATGTTCAGTCAATTCACTGGTATACCGATTTGATTTTGTTTTTGCAAACTTTTATCACCGAGTGTGTCCCTTTGCCGATTGTAGACTGATTCTAGGCAGCACAAGAACTGTTCCATGCAAAGCATGATAAGTTGAAAGTAATATGATGACGTTTTAGACAAACTTTTTGAATGAAAAATAACTATGGATATCAAAAGTTTTAAGCCTAACAAAAGATAAATAAAATTTGAAAGTTTGAAAAGAAAACTTAAAGATTACAAAAATATCGCACAGATATATTTGCCTTTTCTGCTAGCTTTTCATTGTCTATTAAAATGCATGTAAATTACGGAATTGGCAAAGGCTATATATTTTCTCCCTGTGTTGAAGACCCATTTGTGGCCTTGTGCTGTTTTCTGGTCTTTGATCGGGTTGTTGTCTCTTTGACACATTCCCTATTTCCATTCTTAATTTTATAGAACATTTGTTTATATCATGCAAATAGTTTTATAAGACTTATGTTATATATAGATATAAGAAGATGTGGTATGAGTGCCAATGAGACAACTCTCCATCCAAGTCAAAATTTATAAAAGTAAACCATTATAGGTCAAAGTACGGTCTTCAACACGGAGCCTTGGCTCACACCGAACAGCAAGCTATAAAGGGCCCCAAAAATTACTAGTGTAAAACCATTCAAACGGGAAAACCAACGTTCTAATCTGTATATATACTTAGATATATGTTGGACTCAAATCGACGTCTGGTCTTATTGACGTCGAACCCTCAAATCGACGAACAATATGACCCAGTATTCTCAAATCAATGTCAAATATTTTAAACCTCTAATCAACGTCCAATAGGAATGCATGTTTTCTCTGTAATGATCGTTTGTATTATTTCTTATCATGCTGCCTAAATAGACGTATTAGTGTTTTATATATATATATATATCTTTTTTTATAAACAAGTCTAAATTGAAAACAACATTCAAACCTATGATTGCGTTGGATAAAAACCGCAATGTTTATACGTGTGCATGCAAAACAAATTTCTTGGTAGAGGGGTCTAGATACAGCACAAACAACATTTTCCAAAAGACCAAAAAAGTGAAAAGTATATTTTAACAAAACGCATTTGACTAGCAGGTCGAACAACGGATGTTCTTAAACCCTGCTGACTGCCATTGGTGATTGCCAAATAAACGGATCTCCAAATGTAACAATTGGATTTTAACTTTTAATGTAATACCAAACAGAAAACAATCTTTTTTTATATATATTACAAATGATAATGATTTAATTTACTTATGAAAATGAGCCATATAGGAAACAACACCCTGTCATAAAGTATCAACTAAAACAAAATTAAAGAATGTGTACCTGTAAATGACAACAATGCCGCAATGCTCGACAGTAGAAATTAATATTTGTGTGAAAGAAGTTGATCCACTCGATTCACTTTGTTCCTTTCATATTCATTTTGATAAAAGGAGGTGTGGGTTTAATGGCATTGCGACAGCAACCCAATAACAAAGATAACCAACAGATATCTACGGAGGACAACATACTATGTCAACCAATAGACAGCTGTTCATACAATATGTCAAGGTATGAATAAAGAAGCAAGGGAATTTTCAAGGGAGGGGATTTACATCGACTCGCAACAAACAAAACCTCAACTTTAATAGTCACAATTCAAACAGAGCGTCAACTTTAATAGTGCTTATGTGTTTTCAACGGGGGTGGGGGGGGGGGGGTCGTTGAACCCTCCTGGATACAGGCCTGAGAAGTAGGGCCAGTTTACCGAAATTTTCCAACTGACGAAAATTATTCAGATATGACAAACGACAACTACTGAAGATGTCCCTCACATGGGAAATTGAACAAATTTAGTTCACAAAAATAATTGAAATCACCAGAATAAATAACAACACCATGTAGAGTTATTATCATTGCAAAGGATAAGATAAACTACAAGTAGGTCAATTGATATTGATATAATTACCTGTTTACCTCGATGATGAAATTATGACATCAACATTTTTTTTTAAACTTTTTTTTTTATTGTTGCAAATATTTATTTTTTTTAAGTCGCGTGGTCTAGTCATGAACTGGACGTCGATTTATGAACGGAAAAAGACTGATTTCATACGCATTAGTCGGTCATCGAATCTTACTATATTATAACATTGGATTGGGCGTCGATTGATAACCATATGTCGAATTGTTTTAAACAAATATTTTTGACAGCATGTTTTTTTTATCTTGATTTTCGAAATGAACTTAAGAATGTTTTAAAACTTCACCTTACTAATGATGTTATCAAATAAATTGACATTGGTTGGACGCGGACCGTAAAGAAGATAGGAATATCAACTGAATTAAAATAAACAGTTGTTTGAAGATGATCGCTTGCTAATTCTAGATGCAGAATAATTGGAGACTATATGAGTATACTGTTTCAATATGTTTATTCGTACACCTATATTTAACTGCAAAGATCGGCAGCAAATTGCAAGATGATTACATGTAGATTCGTGAAAATGTTTACCTATAAACCGCCTATGAACTGTTGATTGTGAGCTAGAAGCTTAAACATAAGATTTAACGTTTTGGTGTGGTACTTTAAGCTAAGCTGTCGTTGAATATGCTAATAATAGATTTCTCTGGCTGTTAAATTTTCACAAGCTTATCATGAGTTGATTTTATTTTTTTTTTACTCAGAATTAATGAATCCCGTGTCCCAGTATATTAAGTCATTGTATATGTTTCATGAAAGTTTGTGTGAAAGTTCAAGACAGTTCTTGAAATATACGAAACTGATTGAGCAATAATTTATAGTTTTAATTTGGTTGTGAGGGATGTATAAATAGGCAGTCACGTCTGCTCTGAATTGGAGCATTAATCGGGCAACAATGTATAGCTTAACTGACACGTTTTCTGCTTCACATTAAAGACCGTTGCAACAATGCTTTAATGATGGCCTATTGGAAAGCAAATTTTCAGCTCCTATCCAGCATATCTCTTTGAAGTATGGAAGTTGAAATTTGCCGTCCTTCATTGCGGTCGATCAATTTTGAAGAACCTATATTTTTGCACTGAGTATGCCTGACATGTCACCCGCTGGAAGGTAATCAAACAACAATCAAACAATCGGTGTAAGTAAAACACGAAAAATATTCTGATTCTTTCGAGATAATTTATTCGTGACCAAGCTGCCCGACACAGTTATTTTTCCCTTATAAGTCTAGAGGTGTGAGTAAAAAGTACAATTTGTGGTAAAATCGTCGTATTGAAAACCTGCTTTGTCATAAAGACTCTTGCTCGAAATTATTTCTTCTCCTTTGAAAACTCCGTGTTTGTGTTTAATGATGAGTATAAAATAAATAAACTCAAATTAATAGGGTCGAAAATAATTGTTTGTTTAATATATCTTTAGTTTTCTATGTTGTGTTTTGTGTACTGTTGTTTGTCTTTTCTTGTTTGTCTTTTTTTGGCCATGGTATTGTCAGTTTGTTTTCGACATATGACTTTTATGATCCCTTTTGGCACCCCAAGTGTTTTAATTAACGATATCAAATTCCATACAATTTCAAAAAAAAAATTCAAAAAACCATTTTGAGATTACCCACTTTTTTGTTTGGTAATTTAATCTCTGTCGTTTTACAATGATGTTATCTCTATATAACAATTTCAAGGATACAATGTATATTATCTTTCTTTTTTTTCTGAATAAACCGCATATATATGAGACAATAAAATTATAGAGCGATATATTGATTTAAAACAAGAAAGATGATATATATTCAATTTTTTATATCATAGACAAATCCCGTTACAAACTACAATTGATACAAGTATCAAGATATCTGCTTAATTAATCAGGTATAATCTACCTACATTTTATCAAATGGTGTTTGTCATATGTTTGTCATTGACCTATCAACTGATAATGTATTTAATTCACTGAAGAAACAGTTCACATGATGATTTTAAACACAAGATGTAAAGTGTTTATAAGCAGATAATACGGCTTTAGTAAAGGCACGTTTTTTTGTTGACCAATCAGGTTTGCGGTTTAACTATTGTTTAATAATATTTCATCTAACATACAAAACTATTAAGACTTACAATTGTGAACGTAATATTTTCGGTTTCTTATTTTTAGAAAGCAAAATGCTCTCGACCTATGAAATTTTAAGTGATTTTTTTGAAGATTGAATGTAAATCGTGTTCTTTGTAAGGGATTATCCTATTTTTCAGGTCCTCTTACAATTAAAAACACATAATTTCTATAAATGAGTTAGAATAGCCCCGAACAAAAGTTTCGCAAAACTTCTTATATAAATAGATTAATATCATCAAATTAGTTAAGGGTGGCCTTGGTGGACGAGATACCTTATTAGTTCATTTACAGTGTCACCAGCTTGTTGTAAAGATTTCCAACCCTGAACATTCGACTCCGATTGTAATTGACTAGGATAAATTGCCAGCGTTCCTGCCAAAGATCGTTGGTTCTCTCCAGTCCCCTTAAGCTTCCCAAATAAAATCTGAGCGCCAATATATAGAGGCAAGTGTGCTGAGCATTAAACACCCATAATCAATCAAGCAATCAAACAAATCAGTTAATGAAATATTTCATTAAGGAACGGTAATACACATTAAGTCTAGTCACTTAGTGATTTTTCTTTATTGGTTTTAATGAATGGTCTTTTATGTACCATTTATTATTCCATCGAACGAGTTTCAAAAAGTGGGAAAGGTTGAAATTTCAACGTTTACACATTCAGTATATCGGTGGTCAAGTATTT